ATAAAAAATGTTGCATAATAAGGAGGGATTAAGGAAAAGCCTATTAAACATTATGATTTTACAAATTAAGCACCAAAACATCATGTTTTTACAACAAATCAACATAAAAAGCAGGTCAATGCATGGTAAGGTTATGTAGTAATTACTGTATTTACAAATTTAGCACCAAAACATCACAATGTATTGAAACAGCTGTGGATCCGGTGGGAGACAAACTGTGTTGGATAATACAGAATGTTGGGTGAGCGAAGGTTGGATAAGCGACTCTATTGTAATAGTCAAATATGTAGTCAAATACAAATGATGGCACTAAATTTCTTGGTGTGCTAATTATCAACTTGTTTGCTCTTAATGTTAATATTCCTGAAAATCTTAATCTGGCTGCGTGGCAGGGATTTGAGCATGGATTGTGGTGTGTTTGTACATAATTAGCATTCAGCACTTAATTGCTAGCCCTTTTTCTTGTGTTGCATGTTTATATTTACCTTTCTGTTGTGCTAAACAACATCAAACTTTTAGAAGTTTAGAGTCATGACATTGTAGATGGCTAATTTAGGGCAAATACTAATCTTGCTCAGTATATCTGGTATTTAACATTTTAATTTAATAGAATTATTTATCTCATTTGTGCTCACAATAACCTTGGGCCAAGTAATTATTAGCAGTATTTTAGAGTTGGAGGAAAATCTGCTTATCTTGAATGCGCAGCCAATGAAAGATGGCAATGCCTATCTTATTCATGCATCTTATTCATTCATTGCACTTATATTTTAATCCAGTAGTGTTTAGGCTCTAATATAGTCATTTCTAGTGGGATTTATTGTTGATTATATATGTAGAAGGAGATTGTCACTATTGTAAATATCCTATGAGGAAGCTCACACGAGGAGATAGTGAAGTTCACCAGTTCAGGTGAGTTTCATAAATATTTTTTTTCCTTTGTATCATAATAAGATGACATAGTTAAAGCCCTTCATGTTTTGAGACACCCTTTCTATGAGAATAATAATTTTAAAAGCCATGATTTAATTGAATAACTCATTTCAAAAGCAACAGTCACACACAGTAAATGATGTATTGTCGAAGGCTTCCATGGCCGGAATCACTGGCTTGTCGTAGGTTTTTCGGGCTGTATGGCCATGTTCTAGAAGCATTCTCTCCTGACATTTCACCTGCATCTGTGGCAAGCATCCACAGAGGTTGTAGGTTTGTTGGAAACTAGGAAAATTGGGTTTATATATCTGGGTATATATAAACCCAGTTTTCCTAGTTTCCAACAAACCTACAACCTCTGAGGATGCTTGCCACAGATGCAGGTGAAACATCAGGAGAGAATGCTTCTAGAACATGGCCGTACAGCCTGAAAAACCTACAACAACACAGTAAGCTATGTTTTATGTGCATGCTGTGGAATGGGAATAAACCACAATGGTGCCTGAGAATTCTCCCCACCAGCCTTGAGAATTTATTTGTGACATTGCATATAGGAATGGGAGATTTGAGAAGACAGTTGGACTTCCCCAGTAAGGCTGATGGATAGCCACTCTGCCAAGAATTCTAACATCTCTGTTGTGTTGCATGTTCTTTCAAGTTTTCTTCCAACTTATGGTCACCCAATTAATTTTGCAAGGTTTTCTTAGGCCCCGGTGGTGCAGCGGGTGAAACCACTGAGCTGCTGAACTTGCTGACCAAAAGGTAGGTGGTTCAAATGTGGGGAGTGGGATGAGCTCCCACTGTTAGGCCCAGCTTCTGCCAACCTAGCGGTTCAAAAACGTGGAAATGTGAGTGGATCAATAAGTACCGTTTCTGTGAGAAGGTCATGTCGGCCACATGACCTTGGAGGCATCTATGGACAAGCCAGCTCTTCGGCTTAGAAATTGGGATGAGCACCCCCCCCCCCCCAAGTCAGACACAACTAGTTTTAATGTCAAGAGGAAACCATTACCTTTACCTTTCTTAGACAAGGATTACTCAGAGGTGGTTTTGCTATTCCTTCCTGTGAAATGTAAACTTCATTACTTGGTACTGGCAGTCTCCTGGTTGGTTCCCAGATGCAGATACTAATTCAAACATCCATAACGTGAAAATACATTTACAAATCCAAAAAGCAAACCTTGTTTTTTCGATTTTACATAAAGGGTGCCACTGTATATAACGGGACCTGTGCATTAATAGATTTGGGTAGCCATGAGGGGATGGAAGCACGATCATGGAATCAATCCCAAGGCAATATTAAAGGCACATTGCATATTTCAAAAGGGACCTGGCATAGTGGGCCAGTGCAGCATAGCTATAGCTATCCTACTCTATGATATAATTCTTTTTGGCATCTGCCAGCAAATTGGGAAGGCACCCACTTATTAAAATCAATCTAAAGCAATAACCTTGAGAAAACCATATTTTCCAATATTAAAAAGTCGGAGAGAGTCTTCCCTCAAAAGGCAACGAATCTACGGGCATTTCATATGAACAAAATAAGTACTTATCCAAGAAAGAATGAACAGTTTGCTCAAGGGAAACCTCTTGTTTATATGGAGACCTGGCTTATGGACTACTGCACTTTAGCTTGCTTATACCATACTCCATGATGGTGGTCGGTCATCCAAGAACTAACCAGGCTTGATCATGTTTAGATTCCAAGATTGGAAGGGATCCGGTGTTTTCAGCAAACTTCAAATCAAAAGCTTTGGAGACTAGTTGACACACTTGAACGATCTTCTCCATGTCTCTGGTGTTTGTGTCTATGGTGGCCATTCAAAATGGATGGAAGGCACAGATCATATCATATTCAGCTCCAGCCAAGGGATTCCCCCATCAAGAAGAAGCCATTCTTCGCTCGCACCCCAAATCTTTGCAAATGCAACCCAACCAATCCCCATAGTAAGACTTTTTCCTCTGGGAAGTCAAGGGGTGCTTTGGATGGAGTAAGCTGAATGTTTGCTGAAAGGCTTTGTCCTTTGCATTGAAATAAAGTTGGGCTTCATTGCCCCATTACAATTCTGTCAGTTGCTATGAGTGTCCTCCACTACAACCCCAAGAAAGGGATATTTTCATTAATTAATACAGAATATATATTATTTGTCAACTATTGGCAAGTCAGTTTATGGTGACCACATCAATGAGACCTTTAAATAATCCCATTAATATACGTATACACATATGTATGTGAAGAGGTAATTTATAACTTATGATCAGGCATAATAATAGAAATATTATTGTATTCCTTTTACTTGCATACATCCATACAGGGGTTCCTCCCAAAATGTATACATCTTTTAACAGATAATTGTAGACATGGTAACTGTTTGAAGGCTAAGAGAAAAAACAACAACAACAATTCTATTGACAGATAATGATGATTTAATCTGTTACAAATTCCTTCTTAAATTACAATAGTATGGAAGGGGTTGAAACAGTCATCTTTATGCAACCATGAACTGCTTCGTGTGATTGAAACACATACTTCCCTTCCAAGTTTCTCTTGGCATTTCACAACACGGATGTACTAGAAGAACTTTTAGTCCTGTTTATGGTGTATGTAGGGTTGTTTTTAGTGAAATGCCATAAACACCAATAAATATGTCTCTGTGTTTGTATACATAAAAAAAAATCAGGATATTTACATTTGTGTATATGCATATCTATCTATCTATCTATCTATCTATAACAAAGCTCTCTTCTCTCCCAAATGTATACACACTAGAAATTTTATAATTTTGGAATTTTATATTGTGGCACACACACACACACACACACACACACACACAAGGTTATGTGTGTGTATAGCAAAATATATATAATTCCAATACTGTATGTATGTTTGTATACATGTATGTGTGTTCATATGTATGCAGGTTGACCAAATATATATTTTTTCATGTATGTGTACACAAAAATATAACATTCCAATACATGCATGTGTGTTTATGATATGTATGTTTGCAAATGTGCATGTATATACACACAGACACATATATATACATGTGTGTATAACAAATATAAAACTACAGTATATGTATGTTTGTATATGTGTGTGTTGCAAATAAATATAAAATTCCAACACACATTTGTATATACATGTGCATTTTCATGTGTATCTCTGTGTATATATACATGTGTATGTGTAGCAAACCCCCCAATATGTGTATATATTTGTGTATATATATATGTGTGTGTGTGTATGTATGTATGTGGGTTTGTGTATGTGGATAGAAAAAATATAAAATCCCAATATATGTCTGTTTGTGGATATATATGTGTCCATATGCATGCATGTGTGAACATATGTTTATAGAAAAAATAGAATGGAAAAAATAGAATAGAAAAAAATCCAATGGCTGTATATACATGTTTGTGCTCACATATGTGTCTATATATGTATGCTCATGACATGCATGTATCTGTAGATATACTTATGTGCATAACAACAAATATGAAGTTCCAGTGTATGTTTGTAGATATAACTGTGTGTGTTCATGGCAAAAAATATAAAATTCCAATACATGCATATTTGCATATACGTATGTGTGTATTGCAAAAAAAACTAAAATTCTAATGTATGTATGTGGATATGTGTGTTTGCATTCATTTTATGTATGTGTGTGTGTATATAGCAAAAATATATAATTCCAGGATATGTGTGCATGCATAAATGTGCATAGGCATGTGTGCAGAACATGCATGTAAGTTTGAGACTTGTATGTAAAAGAAACCAGGAAGTGACAGCCCTATTTCCTTTCTCCAGGAGGCGGATCGGGCGAGCACACTATTCATTCCGTGGGGGGGAGACGATGACAAGTATGCCCAAAAGTCCACTTTCAACCTCCAACTAGGGCAGCTTGACAACGAAAGACTTTTACTTGGCTATAGAGAAGGGCAAGAGATGGCAACAGCGGCGCCCTTTCCTTGTCTTGAGGCAATTCCGAGCTTTTTTCTGCCCTGTCCCCCCCCTCCTTGAGCACTTGGTCTCGCCCAGGGGGCAGAGATTGTCCCAATGTGCAGAGTGGTAGCTCCCAGGCACTTTCAGTCTCCTTTGGACAGCGAGAGGAGCAGCAGCAGCTTCCAAAGCTCATTGAGGTGCAGGCGGTTTCTTATTCTTGTATTTGAGTATTTTTTTTAATTAATTTTGGGAATATTTCGTGTTTCCTTTTATTGGGGAAAGAAAAGCAACCACTGATCCATTTTAATTCATTTACACACAGTCTGGGGTGCATCCACACTGTAGAATTAATGCAGTTTGGAATCGCTTTAACTGCTGCGGGATCCTGTGTATCTTTAACCACCTTTTCCAAAGAGTTTTGGTAATAGGGAAGGCTATTGTGAAGGAAAGGACAACTCCATGATTGCAAAGTGGTGTCAAACTGCGTTAAATCTACAGTGTAGATGCCTACCATGATCTGAAATAGAGATCTTTGGAAAGAGGAGGATGGAGGTTGGCAGGGATTGTAGTGCCTGCTGTTTTTGGAAACTTTAGCAGCCTTCCCTTTTGTTTGTTGAACTTTGCATGTAACTGAATAGCTGGACCCAGAGGGACTCAGCTGGCTGCTTGCTTGCATTGAATGGAGAGACTGCATAGCTTCCCAAAGGGATTTTCCTCCCTGGCTTGAGTTTTTCCAAAACTTTTTTTATAGCATAATATTGATGATCATGATGTATATTGCATGCTTGGTATTTGCTTCCTATATGTACTTGCAAATGCCTTGTAATGCCAGATATTTATGATTATGATATATATTGCATGCTTTGTATTTGCTTTCTGTATATTCTTTGAAATGTCTTGTAATGCCACATATTGATGATCATGATATATATTGCATACTTGGTATTTGCTTCCTGTAGGCACTTGGAAATGTCTTGTAATGCCACATATTGATAATCATGATATATATTGCATGCTTGGTATTTACTTCCTATATGTTCTTGCAAATGCCTTGTAATGCCACATATTGATGATCATGATATATATTGCATGCTTGGTATTTACTTCCTATATGTTCCTGCAAATGCCTTGTAATGCCACATATTGATGATCATGATATACATTGCATGCTTGGTATTTGCTTCCTATATGTTCTTGGAAATGTCTTATAATGCCACATATTTCTCCCATAGATTGGCCAGCTGCTGTGATATTCCCTAAGGTTTCCTTTCGCTCCATGAAAATACTCAATTCTGCTTTATGAGTGTTTCCAAGCTCTGCTCGGCAGTATGTTTATGCTATTTGTCCTTGCAATCTGTTTCTATCCACATCTTGATTTCTCTGTAGTTTTCTTGTATTTTTCTCTCTCTTTGAGATATTCTCAGGCCCCTTCCACACAGCTGAATAAAATCCCACATTTTCTACTTTGAACTGGGATATATGGCAGTGTGGACTCAGATATTCCAGTTCAAAGCAGATATTGTGGATTATTCTGCCTTGATATTCAGTGTTATATATCTGCGCTGAAAGGCTCCTCAGTGAGTGCGTTTTGGGGGCATCTACACGGTTGAATTAATGCAGTTTGACACTGCTTTAACTGATATGACTGGGCCCCCTTTAACACAGCTGAATAAAACCCCATATTATCTGCTTTGAATTGGAATATATGGCAGTGTGGACTCAGATATTCCAGTTCAAAGTAGATATTGTGGATTATTCTGCCTTGATATTCAGGGTTATATGCCTGTGGTGGAAGGTTCCTTGGTGAGTGCGTTTTGGGGGCATCTACACGATTGAATCAATGCAGTTTGACACTGCTTTAACAGATATGACTGGGGTCCCTTTAACACAGCTGAATAAAACCCCATATTATCTGCTTTGAATTGGAATATATGGCAGTGTGGGCTCAGATAACCCAGTTCAAAGCAGATATTGTGGATTGTTCTGCCTTGATATTCTGGGTTATATGGCTCTGTGGAAGGGCTCTCAGTGAGTACATTTTGGGGGCATTTACATGGTTTAATTTACATGGTTTGACACTGCTTTCACTGATATCACTGGGGCCCCTTTCACACAGCTGAATAAAACCCCACATTATCTGCTTTAAATTGGAATATATGGCAGTGTGGGCTCAGATACCCCAGTTCAAAGCAGATATTGCAGGATTTTCTGCCTTGATATTCTGAGATATAGTTCTGTATGGAAGAGCCCTTCAATAACCCAGTTCAAAGCAGATACATGGGATTTTCTGTCTTGATATTCTGGGTTATATGGCTGCATGGAAGGGCCCTGAATTCTATGGAATCGTGGGAGTTGTAATTTTATAAACCCTTTAATCTTTATGAATCCAAAGTCCTGGTGCCTCTCCAAACTACAACTCCCAGGATTCCATAGCATTGGCAGTGAAAGCAATGTCAAACTGCATTAATTTTACAGTGTAGACAAGTGGTTCCCAACCTTTTTTTTAACCAGGGACCACTCTCCAACATTAGTACCAAAAGGGTTACGAATCAGTTTTGGGTCAACTTTAGATTCAGTTTGGTTATTTGGGCTGCTGATTCAGAAAATTGCATTGGATAGACCACATCAGCTCTAGTTTCTGATACAGAATACATGCCATCCAGTAGTCGCCATCTGCTCACCCACAGAAAACCACATAGTTCTTGTGGACCACTGGTAGGGAACCACTGGTGTAGACCCATTGTCTGCTGTACTTAAGTGGTGGTGTAGCTGAACATGATCAGTGGAGGGCTGTCATATGGCATCCATATGTGCCCCTTCCCTCCCACATACTTATTGGACCTAGATTAATAATTGCAGTCGGCCCACTGAAATAAATCACCCTCAAATTAGTTTTAAGTTCAGTGGATCTAGTTGTTGTCTAAGCATTTGCTACATCTGGATCAGGCTCATTGTCTCCAGCAGTAGCCCTGCCAAGTGGGAGCTAGCTTCTCATTTGTATATATGCAAAGAGTTTATATTTCCATTGGAACCAGCTCACAGTGAACTGGGACTTAATTCATTTTTTGAAGGGAGTAATGCAACTGATATTTATAGAGCGATGAGCAGAGTCATTCGTCTGTGTCAGCTGAGCTGAAACACCCAGAGAGCATGGTTTTGCAGATAGGCTTCCTTGTGAAGGCACTTCTAGTTTAGATTAGACAGATACATGTTGCGTAATTGTATTAATAGGACACAGCTCATACACACACACACACACACATGTATGCACACATACACACATTGTCATATATGTGTGAGTGTATATAAGTGTTTGTGTACACTAGCCATCCCCTGCCACACGTTGCTGTGGCCCAGTCTGTGTATATGTGTTTTGTGTGTGTGTGTGTATGTGTGTGTGTATATATTTGTGTAAATGTGTATGTGTGTGTTTGCGTATATACAGGTGGTTTCGCACATGCATTGTAACATAATTTTTGTTTTTTGGCTTTTAAAGTTTCTTCTGCTGCGTTTTTCAGTGTTTTTATGAGTGATGGTCACTCGTTGGCCTGATAGGTGTATTGTGTCCAAATTTGGTGTCAATCCGTCCAGTGGTTTTTGAGTTATTTTAATCCCACAAACGGACATTACATTTTTATTTATATAGATATACTAGCCGTCCCCTGCCACGCGTTGCTGTGGCCCAGTCTGTGTATATATTTTGTGTGTGTATGTATGTGTTTATGTGTATGTATATTTGTGTATATATGTGTTTGCATATATATACAGATAGATATAGATATGAAGATAGATAGATGGGTGTATATGTGTGTGCATATATGTGTATAAGTGTGTATATATTTGTGTATTTCTGTGTTTATAGTTGCCTCCGGGCTGATATGAGCGGAGTAGAAATAATGCAAATAAATAAATAAATAAATGTATATGTGTATATGTATATTATGTATATTGTGTATATGTGTGCGCTTGTGTATATATGTGTATGTATGTCTATATGTATAGTTGTGTGTGCATATGTATATGTAAATATGTATGTATGCATGTGTATATTTGTGTGTGCTTGTGTATATATGTGTGTGACTGTATGTATGTATGTGTGCATGTGTATATGTATATGAGTGTATGTGTGTATACATATAGTTTATTTCTGGGGGGTTTAAGTCCATTCTGCTGGGGTTTTTTTGTGTGCTTTAGGGGTGATGGACACTCATTGGCCTGATAGATGTATTGTGTCCAAATCTGGTGTCAATTCGTCCAATTGTTTTTGAGTTATGTTAATCCCACAAACAAACATTACATTTTTATATATATAGATATATATATATTTGTGTGTGTGTAACAGCTCATCTTCTATGATAATTTTTATTTTCTGGGACTGTGATTTAGCAGACATGTGTACATATGGTCTTCTCCCAATTTGTGCAATGTAGCATAGGCCTGCTATTTGATATTATCTGGGTTAATAGTTTGCAGACTGCTAGCTCTTTAAAATAAAGCAGAGGAAGCTGTGAAATCGGAACCCAACTCTTCATCTGTTTCACAGTCCCTTTTGGGGGGTCAAAGGAAGGGGATCTTTGACGCAGATGATTTAGGGGTGTGCTCTCATCTCTAGTCTCAGTTACAAACAAATGCAAAATCTGGGTGCATCCATCTCTACATTGTAGAACGGATGCAGTTTGATACCACTTGAGCTCCCAAGGAAGGAGTAGGAGTTGTAGTTTTACAAAGTCGTGAGCTATCCCTCCTGGAGACTGTTGTGCCTCACCAAACTACAAATCCCAAGTCATAGCACTGAGTTACAGCAGTTAAAGCGATGCCAAACTGCATTCATTCAGCAGTGTAGGTACATCCTTAGTCCTGTATTCGAGAAACCACTAGAAGATAGTTTGACTCCAGAGAAGAATAGAAAGCCAACCAAGCAAGAAAGATAGTGGGAGAAATGACATACAGTCAGAGAATGGTACTAATAATTTCTTTGGGTGTATATTTTTTGTAGCATTAGGCAATAGCCCAAGTCTTTCTCAGTATTTGGCTGCACAGATTACACCATGTAACACAATTTTTGTTCTTGGGTTATAGATGTCATTTTCTAATTGGGTCTATAATAAAAACACGGGAAAAGTTGATTAAACTGCAAAATCTTGGTTTTTGTGGGAATCCTGCAGCACATGTTGCTATAGTTTTTCAATGAATGGCT